ATGACGAGGAAGCGTACCTTAACCTGCCTCGTCGTCGTGCCCTCGCCGAAGGTAACCATGAGCTCGGCATATCCCCAAGGCTTGGAGGTCGAGCCGTTGAAGCCCTGTAAGTCTGACCCTACATACGGCGAGAGGTGTGAGTCGTCTACCTGCAGAGTCCGGAATAATTGACTGTACATCACGTCAACGGAACTTCCTTCATCGACGAGGACGCGGTGCACGTCAAAGTTAGCCATTCTCGCTCTTATCAGTAGAGGAATGACTGCATTGGGGGCTCCTTCGGGGAGCTCTTCGAGGTAAAAGGTGATATGCTCTGACCTATCTTTTACCCTTTCAAAGGTCACTGTCTGCGGAGGTGCCGAGTCGACCAGTTCATCAAGATTTCTCTTGGACGAATTGATAGTTAGGTCGTTGAATCCTCCACCATTGATGATCATGGCGGAGGGAAAGTATTCCCACCTGCTGTGTGTCGTGAGCGGCTCCTGTAGGTGTTCGGGGACGTAGAAGTCCTCCGGTCTGGTGACGGAGAAGGCGGTCTGGACAGGGACCGACTCGTCAGATGGTCGGGCGTCTTCCTCCGGTTCTCTTGTCTCCCGGGCGTCACGACGAGGAGCGTCGTTTCGCCGGTATTGGGCGAGCCTCCCTCCCTTGATGAGGGTTTCGATGGCGTCCTTGAGGTGGACGCAGTCTTCAGTCAGATGACCATGGCTCCTATGGTACTGACAGTACTTGCTCTTGTCTACTCCGGGCTTGGCAGGAGCAGGTCGGGGGCATTTGACGCCGCCGTCTTTGAAGTCCGTGCTGGCACACTCCGCCAAGATGCGCTCGTGGGAAGCTGTGAGCGGAGTGTATTCTGTGAAGCGCCCCGAGGGCCCTCTCTGTTCGCGGACTTCTCGGGGTCTTTCCTCTTTTCTTTTCTCCCCAATTCGTCGAGGAGGAGCGACTTCTTGGCGCGGGTTGCTGCTGGATCTGCGAGTTCTGAGGTCTCGGGCTCTGTTGGCCGCCTCCCTTTCCTCGTAATCCATATACGCCCGGGCCTTCTCGAGGAGAGCATCAAATGTCCGGGGTGGTTCGATGCCCACCGCCTTTCTAAATTTTGTGCCGGGGAGGAGCCCCATCTCCAATAAGTACCTTTTCATATGGTCCGCGCAAGGGACCTGTATGGCTTCGCGGTTGAAGCGATTGATAAATTCTCTCAAGGTTTCATCCTATCTCTGGATGATGGCCTCGAGTGCTGCCTCGGTCTTTGGGTGTCACCGAGACACAGTGAAGGAACTTATGAATTGATTCTTCAGGTTTCGCCACGAGGTGATTGATCTCGGGGCGAGGCCTTTATACCAATCCATTGCTTCCTTTCTGAGGGTCGTGGGAAGCAACCGGCATTTGATGGGTCCCCCGTCATTATGGTAATGCAGCATGGCCTCGAACCCGTCTATATGGTCGACTGGGTCTGCGACTCCGTCGTATTCCTTCAGATGTGGAGGCTTCTCCATGCCCGGAGGAATGGGCGCCTCCAAGATGGCTTGTGACAGGGGACCGTAGGGGTCATCCTCGTCACTTCATTTCGGGGACAGGGATGGGGACCTGAAATAATGTCATGCCCCGCGGTCCTGGTCGTGTTGGGCATCCCTCGAGCGTGGTGCTCGTTGGTCAATTCTTTTGTGCCTGTCTCCGGAGTGTCTTCTTTCTTGCCGTATGGGACCATGGTTGCGTCCCCGACTTCAATGACGGGCTGCCTCTCCAAGGGGGGTCGTCTCCCCGAGGGTCGGGGCGACGGGCTTCAGGAGATGTCTCTGTATTGTCTCCGCGGGGGAGACGGGAGATGTACCTCTGTCACTCGAGGAGGTGGAGTATGGGGCCTCTTGTGTCTCCTCGCGGGTCTTCTATCGTCTTCTAGTGCCCTCAATCTTTCCCCCTGGGCAAAGATGAGGTAATTAGTTTGGTTGATCGCCGCGAATAGTGCGCGGGTTATGGCATCCGCCCCGGCGGGGACAGGGACTTCCTGAAATTGGGCAGCTCGATAGTTTTGGGGAGCTGCGTTGTCCTCTTCGAGTGGCGGAGGGACTGAGGAAGATGAGGCAGTAGCTCCGTCGCGGTGGACTGAATGCCCGGGGATGGTTCCCCTGGGGAGTGTGTTATGGTCGGGGTTACCGGTGTTGTCGGGGACTCCATTTTTATCTGCGAGGCTGTTATTTGTGTCGACAACACGGACGTTCTGGTCATCCCGAACTTGGTCAGCCATGACAGTAGGAGGTGATTTTGAGCTTTGGTCTTCGAGGTTTTTCAAGACGGGGAAGCTAGTTTCCCACAGACGGCGCCACTGATCTTACCTGATCAGACTTGGACCGTCACGACTGGCTCAGAGCAGAATTTGAGTGAGATGGGGGAGGAGGTACCTGCAAGGCACTCCGATGCTAAAATGAGTGACGGAATGAGCAGGCCAAAAGTGTATGTATGCGTAAGAGTGAAAATCTGACCCTCTGGAAATAGAGGGTATTTATAGCCCCCAGCGCTAGGCCAAGGTCCCCTCACTGGGCCGACCTTAACGGGCCCAATAAAGGAACTGCCAGATTCTACGTGTGTAGTGGGGTCCCGCACGTGGTCCCCTTCCTGGTGATGTTCTGCGAAGAATGAGGAGGGACGAGGACGCGGTCTTTCCGGAGTTTAGATGATTTGGTAACGGTCATAATCTGCCCTACGAGGAGAGTGCTCGAGCGGGGCTTAAGCTGGAGTTCCCGTGGTCGAGGACACCAGGTGTCGCAGACAACAGCGGGCACGACTGCAGTATACGGTCGGGCGCGCTGGCGGGAATCCGCGGGCGCGCGTTCCTCGAGGAGCTGCCTGGATTGGGCCTTTGTTCTTGCTTTTGGGCTAGGGCGGGCCCAGTCCATAACATTTTTGATGATAGATGGATTTATTGGATTATGTTGTGTGTTATTTTGGTGCATTATATTGTTCTTGTGAACTCGGAGCGGGTAGAACTAATTCAATCAGGAAGGAGAATTAGGCAAAGGAACTCACTGTCTCCTTACCTATTTATTCTTGTTACATAAGGGCTATCCAAACTCATGAAAGATTCAGTAGCGCGTGGCGAAGTCCACGGGATTCAAATTTGTAGAGGGGAACCAAAAGTGTCCCACCTACTTTTTTTTACGGTTGATTTTTGTTTTGCAGGGAAAATCTGACCGAAGTGAGATCTCTTATGCAGAGGTATCAGAACAGGAGATTAACCTCTCGAAATCGGAGGTTTGTTTAGCCGTAACTTGTCTAAACCAGCTCATGAGGACTTGGCAAGTATTATGGGAGTTCGACATGTTTTAGAAACTAGGAAGTATCTAGGTTTATCATCTATGATAGGTAGAAGTAAGAAGGCTACGTTCTCTTATATTAAGGATCGAATTTGAAATAAGATTACTTCTTATAAAGGAAGATCTCTTTTAAAAGTGGGAAAGGAAGTTATTATCAAATCAGTCTTGCAATTAATTCTTTTGTATATAATGAGCATATTTATTCTACCAGACACACTCATCAATGATATATAAAAAAATGTTGAATGCTTTTTGGTGGGGAGGTAGTAACAATAATGGAGGAATCTGGTGAATGGCGTGGAAAATGATAGTGTGCACCGAGAAGGAAGGAGGGTTGGGTTTCCGAGATTTTAACGCATTTAATATACTTGATAGAGGAGTATGGCGTGTTTGTTTTCCTGATGGGTATGTTAAAGTTGTCTCATGCGAGAGCTCCAAGGCAGCTCCAAGGCAAATGAGTTTTATCAAAATCTGTTTAAGCTAGATCATACTCATGACAATTGGCAGCCCTCAAAAGTGTCTTATCCGGTGATGAGTACTGAGTTCAGAGGGAAACTTCAAACTACCATTACAGATGAGGAAGTTCCAAGTGCAGTGTTTAAGATGATTATCTATTTAGTTAGTTAATGACAATTTTATAAATTAAATAAAATAAATTCAACTATAAAGTACAATAATAAATGTCAATCATATTCTTTAACCAAATTAATTAAAATATATATTTTAATCAACATGGAAATCCCCCAGTTAATATTTATATCCACTCTTTGAATATATTTATTAAGAAATTCAATCAAGGATAGTAACTTTTTAAAATTTTATTGAAAACATTAATTAAATTTATTATAATGTTTTTTTATTAAATTTAATAAAAAATTAAAAATAAAATTATATATATATATATATATATATATATATATATATATATATATATATATATATATATATATATATATATATATATATATATATATATATATATATATATATATATATATATATTAAAAATTATAATATTAAATAATTTAATAATAATTGATTTTTATTTATAATAATGACCAAAATTAATATTTTTTTCGCTACAATTATGTTGCATTAACAAATAACATTTGTCTTTATTTCTATTGAATTTATTGCTTGAGGATTTTTTTGTCGGTACAATTATGTTGCATTGGATAACAAATACTCTTTTCGGTTATTATTATAAAAAAGAAAAAAATAATCTTAAATTTTAGTCACTATTATAAACAAAATATATTAACTTTTAAGATTAATTAATGATTATATTATTATTATTATTATACTTTTAATTTAAATAAAAAATATTTAATATTATTAGTTGATTCATCAAATATAATTAAAAATATTATAATATATTTTATTTTAATTGAATATGAAATCAAGAAAATTAAATACGCTTAATTAATTTTCTTAATATGTGTAAAAATAATTATTTTAATTTATAATTATAACCAGAAAAAAAGAGAACTAACATTTGTCTTTATTTGTATTAAATTTACTACTTGAGAATCAATTCCAAATATCAACTGTGCATACAAAAAAATCAATGAATCAACGATGGTAGAAAATAATCAAAAGCAAAGAATAATACATGCAAAAATTGATTTCAAAAATAAATAATAGAATACTGATTGAAAATAAATTTATTTATGTTTGACATAATGTCAATATTTATGAGCACACTTTATTGAATGGCATTTGGTAAAACATATTTATTATTGCAACTCTCCAAGTTTGAAGAAATGTATGTAAACACCACAAGAACCATATGTATGCAGCTGAAGTACCAACACCTACAAAGTAAAATAACTTTAGATATCTAATTGGTTTAAAAATAACTAAATAAAAGATAAAAGAGATAGTAAAAAAAATACCATTTACTGATGCGAGAAGAATCATAATATTTGTTATTGCTAACAATTTTTAACACAATATTTCATGCAGCTATACAGATCCTCACCTACTTTAGCGCTGCAGTCATAAAAAAAACACCTTAATTTACATAAACCTTTGGGGAGCTTGTTTATCTCAAAGTCTTGAGATTGAGTGATGCACTCAATTTGTATTGTAAATATCATCATCATCATCATCGAGATGATCGCAATATATTTTTGGATTTGACTCATTGCCATTACTTCAATTATCAATGGATTTGTAAAGTTTCAGAGTTTGCACAGCGCTTATTAAACAAAACGTTTGTGTTAAACCATTATTTATAGCCAATAATTTCTATTTTTTATTGACTTTAGTTTTAAAAAAAAAAATCTTAACTTTAAGTATTCATTAAATATACTTTATTTTCTAATTAAATTCTTTTTAAAACTTTAAGTATTCATTAAATTCTTTACTTTTCTTTTAAAAAGTAAATTGGCATTTTCTGAACATATTATTCTAATTATTTAATAACACTCGCTCTCTCCCTTTATTAATAATTCTTATTCTAGAAATTATGCGTAAAATGCAACTCTTCTTTACCTTAGTCTTAATAAAATTATACTTCAGAATTTTTTTATGTTTTTTTTAAAGAAATAGTTGATACCTATTTAATTCTTTTTTATATAAAAATAGAGATCAAAATAAATAAATAAAATTATAATATTTTGTATACATATTCAATTTGTGAGTGACTAACATATGTCTTTTGAATATATTCTTTCTGAAATAATCAATCTTCAATATCTATTTAAATAGTCATGACAATTAACTCCAACAAAATCAACTAAATTGAATTTAACAATACAATATAAAAAATTAAACTAATGGCATTCCCACAAAAAGGAATCGATATTTAAAAAACAATAGAATAATAAATTGAAAATTATATTTCTAACAAAATATGAACAAAATAAAAATTCATGAACATATATATTTCCTAATATAAATAAAAGTCACTTAATTGGTTTTATAGAGATTAAAGTTAAAGCAAAATAATGATTTTATAGAGATTAAGTCTATTTGAATATTGCCAACGAAAAAAGTCTATTTGAATGAATATATATATATATATATATATATATATATATATATATATATATATATATATATATATATATATATATATATATATATATATATATATATATATATATATATATATATATATATATATATATATATATATATATATATATATATATATATATATAATAACTGGTTTTGAATATCGATTTAAATGGTGAATTAATTGTTTTTGAATCAATATCAAATTTAAAAAAATGTGAATTAATTGTCTTCTTGTTAAAGAATATTAATAATTTAAAAAAAAAACAAATAAGATATTATTCTATTTTTCTATATTATTTTTTAAATAAATTAGATTTTTTTGGATCTATTATTCAAATGATGCGTAATAATCTTAGGCTCCCTTAGCGATAATAATGAACATGGTTTGGAAAGGGTAGTAAAATATATGTCCTCATATCTGCAGTTTAAAAATATCTTCGTACACAAATTCATAAAACAAAATAAAAAATACTCTGCAACTTCATGATATTCACGAGACAATACTAAAAATCATGACACAAATAATTAGCGATGTGGGAAAATCACGAGGAAGGAGCGTTTGTGGCAAATGGTTTTCACGTGACATTCACGACACAAATTTGTAGTGTGATACTCACGTAGCAAACGTTCTCCCAGACAACATTTACTTTACTCAGTCTACACGCCAGTCTCATTAGCAACGCGTGTACTGCTGAGGTGAAGAGGTGTTTCCGTTGCGGTACACTACTACGAAAATGGGCTTTCACAGCGCTTTTTTTTGCCCTTTAAAAGCGCTTAAAAGCGCTGCCGTAGCCAGCGCTGGCGTAGGCTACGAAAGCGCTTTTTTCTGGCCAAAAGCGCTGTCGTAGGTGGACCTATCACAGCGCTTTTTCCTTAAAAAGCGCTTTGATAGGGGGGTCTTTCCCAGCGCTTTTTGAAAAGCGCTTTGATAGGTGTGCTATTTAAATTTTTTTTTTTATTTATCAGGCCTTTTACAGCGCTTTTTATGGAAAAAGCGCTTTGATAGGGGGGTCTTTCCCAGCGCTTTTTCCATAAAAAGCGCTTTGATAGGGGGTTTCTATTTAATTTTTTATTTTTATTTATCATGGCTTTTACAGCGCTTTATGGAAAAAGCGCTTTGATAGGGGGGTCTTTCACAGCGCTTTTTCCATAAAAAGCGCTTTGATAGGGGGTTTCTATTTAATTTTTTTTTTTATTTATCATGGTTTTTACAGCGCTTTATGGAAAAAGCGCTTTGATAGGGGGGTCTTTCACAGCGCTTTTTCCATAAAAAGCGCTTTGGTAGGGGGTTTCTATTTAATTTTTTTTTTATTTATCCTGCCTACGAAAGCGCTTTTTAGCCAAAAGCGCTTTCGTAGCTCATACAAATTTTTTAAAGTGAAACCTATAATTTGAGGTTCCCTGTGCGGCCTGTAATTTTTTTTTGGTCCAATAATTTAACCTGTAATTCAATCCTTATAATATTCACAGAAACCGGTATTATATTAACAGAAACCGGTATACCATATAATACATTTGTAACCATAACTAAATCCTTATATACATATGTAACTAAATCACATACAAAGTATGTCGGATATTGGATCGAACTCTAGTTGGTCGAAGTACTTGCTGTAGTCGAAGAAGGTTCTAGCATGTATTTGTCGAAGGATGCTTGTCGAATTAGGTTTTAGTGTTTAAACCCTAATTTGTTAAGTTAGCTTGTTTGTTAAGTTAGCTTGTATAATGGGCCTTGTGGAAAAAGCCCATTAGTTAGTATGTTAGGTTTTATTATAAATAGCATACTAGTCTCTCATCATTGCCAACACAGCAAATCCTAATTTAGGGTGAGAGGGTTATTTGTTATTCTTGTAAACTTGTAATCTTGTTTTCAAAGAGAAAGTAAAGAATATCAGTTATAACCAATTCTTGTGTTCTTCTTCTTCCTTGTTCTTTATTCTTCCCAAATACTATACTTTGTTATTGGCATTGAATTCACAACAAATTGGTGCGGTGAGCGTGGAGAAGATGCCTTCAACAAAATATGAGATTGAAAAGTTCACCGGAGTGAATGATTTCGGTCTATGGCGCTTGAAGATGAAAGCCCTACTGGTTCAGCAGGGTTGTTTGGAAGCGTTGAAGGGAGCGACGGCGATGGACGTTGCGCTAACAGAAAGAGAGAAGACGGCCATGATCGAGAAAGCACACAGCGCAATTTTGTTGAGCCTTGGTGATAAGGTTCTTCGACAGGTATCAAAGGAGACGACGGCATCAGGGTTATGGGTGAAACTTGAAAGTTTGTATATGACCAAATCTCTGGTAAATCGACTCTACCTGAAGCAAGCTTTGTATTCATTCAAGATGATCGAAGACAAAGTGTTGGCTGAGCAGTTGGATATGTTCAACAAGCTGATTCTTGATCTTGAAAATATTGATGTAAAGATTGATGATGAAGATCAAGCGCTGTTATTATTGTGCGCTTTGCCCAGATCACATGCTCACTTCAAAGAAACCCTCTTGTATGGAAGAGAGTCCCTGACCTTTGAAGAAGTTCAATCAGCCTTGTACTCTAAGGACTTGAACGAACGTAAGGAACATAAACCTTCGACGGTGGGTGAAGGTTTGGCTGTTAAAGGAAAATTCGACAAGAGGAAAAGTAAAAATCAGTCGAAGTCTTATAGTGGTGACGCATCTGGTATTAGATGCTATCACTGTAAGAAAGTAGGTCACACAAGAAAGGTGTGCCCTGAACGCCTGAAAGATCATGGAGGTAAGGATAATGGCAACGCAGCTATTGTCCAAGATGATTTCGAATCATCTGATGTTCTTGTGGTTTCAAGCAAAAACTCGTCGAAGGAGTGGATTATGGATTCTGGATGCACTTGGCACATGACTCCAAACAAAGACTTGTTCGAGGAATTATGTGATCAAGATGGTGGATCTGTATTGCTGGGAAACAACAAAGCTTGCAAGATTGCAGGCGTTGGATCTGTGAGATTCAAGCTCCATGATGAGTCAATAAGATTGTTGACTGAAGTCAGGTATGTACCTGATTTGAAGAGAAATTTGATTTCTCTTGGTGAATTCGACAAGAAAGGATATGTGTTTCAAGGAGAGAAAAGTATCCTGAGAGTCATGAAAGGGTCGAAGGAAGTCTTGAGAGGCGTGAAGAAACAAGGCTTGTATACCCTTGAGGCTGAAGTTGTAAGTGGTTCGACAAATGTTGCATCCACGAAACCTTTGTCGAAGACAGAAATTTGGCACATGAGATTGGGCCATGTCAGTGAAAGGGGTCTGGTCGAATTAGGGAAACAAAATCTGCTTGGTGGAGATAAAGTCGAAAAACTGAAGTTTTGTGAACCCTGTGTACTTGGAAAGTCCTGTAGAATGAAGTTCAACAAAGGCAAACAAAGAACACATGGATCCCTTGATTACATCCATGCTGATCTTTGGGGGCCTGCAAGGTGTCCATCACATTCAGGAGCAAAGTATTTTCTATCCATAGTAGATGACTATTCCAGAAAGTTATGGGTATTCATCCAGAAGACTAAGGATGAAACTTTTGAGAATTTCAAAAGTTGGAAGACTCTTGTCGAAAATCAAACTGGCAGAAAGGTAAAGAGGTTGAGAACCGACAATGGCCTTGAGTTTTGCAATGAGGCGTTCGACAGTTTTTGTGTTGCCTCTGGTATTGCAAGGCACAGAACTACCGCAGGTACTCCTCAACAAAATGGTTTGGCTGAAAGGTTTAATCGAACTATTTTGGAGAGAGTTAGATGCATGTTGACTAGTGCGGGATTAAAGAAGGTGTTTTGGGCTGAGGCTGTTTCGACAGCAGCATATCTGATAAACAGATGTCCTTCGACAGTGTTAGATATGAAGACACCTGAAGAAGTTTGGTCGGGACACCCACCAGATCTCGACAAACAAAGAGTATTTGGCTGTGTAGCCTATGCTCACATTAGGCAAGACAAGGTCGAACCTAGAGCTCTGAAATGCATGTTTATGGGATACCCTGAAGGAGTAAAAGCTTATAGGCTATGGTGCCTAGAGCCAGGTCACAGGAGGTGTATCACCAGTCGAGATGTAGTTTTCAATGAAACGGAAATGGCTTTCAAGAAAACTGATGATGTTGACGAAGAGCTGGAAC